TAAAGTAAAAATATCAGAAATATCTACTTGAGTACAGTAATGAAGTATTTGTACTTCGTTACTTCCCATCTCTGCTGACCGGACTTTTCCTTTACTGTCCTGCTGTTGCAAACATGCTGGAATCTACTTCTATGTTTCTTCCTACATTTGGTTAATGTTAGCAGATGTTGCTATCGATGGTGGAACATCTGCATAGCAACGTACCACGATGGCCGTGTCTCGAACAGTGTTTTCTGGGATGACCACTCTGTAGGTATCGTTTTCCCACTGTGGTGGCTGGTTCTTCACGTTGGTGATGGTGACGGCCAGCTCCACTGAACTGCTCCTGTTTCCTCCGTCTGTTGCTACAATCTCCCTGGTGATGTATGTCCTCTGTGGTAGGAAGAGGAGATAAAGATGAAGGACAGGACAAAGTCGTAACATAATGTTGGGAACTACAGGGTGCCGAATACCATAGATATATAACACCCAGATTCAAACTTACATGCTTTGCTTTTTCTATAACAGCTCTATAAAACCAATCCCCCAAACAGCTGACATAATTTAGACGTTTTAGGCACGATCTAGTCGGTCCATTATAGTCTTGATTTGGTCCAAAAATCCTTGTTGAAATTTGGGCTCTGTTTGGTCGATCTGATTTTGTCTCACTCTATGCCGGGCTTACATATTTTTTTGCCCGTTTTGAGCCGATTATCCAGTCGTGCGAGAATTTTTTGATCAGGCCGAATTTTAGCCTTATTGTGCGTCCTGTGTCGTGTAGTATACAGGGGGTAACTAAGGGCGATCAGCCTCACACAACCAGCTCCCGAACAAGAATCGTAAAGTCGGGATAAAATCAAACGTGTTTGAAATTCAGCTGGGAGAGCTCGTGAGGTGTTCGTTGACAATTCCTACTGTTGAAGCAGAGCAACGAGCCGATTTACCAGAAACTCGCACACTGTGCATGCGCAAACAAGGAAGTGGAGCAGAGCGCTCAGTCAGACGTGTGGTTTTTGGTCATACAGCTTGAGCAGGTAGATCACATCAGAGCGTCTGGCCGCACAGGCTTAACATACATCTTTAGCTGTGAACTCTTAAACCCTGCTGTTTTGTCGTACAGTTTGAGTAGTAGCTGAGTAAAAACGATTAAAAATATCACACAATGCGAGTCCGGCTTTAGTCTAATAATAGATATTGAAAAGACGTTGCAAAACCACTTTGCAATGCCTTTTTTGTTGATCTGAAAATTAGAGCTTTTCACCTTAAATTTTCATCTGCAGCCCTCTGAGGGATCTTAGGAGGCCCTTGATCACAGTTCAAAAATAGTTTAAACCCTTCAAACCATAAGCCCATTTTCTCTAAATATACGCCCCAGTTAAGACGGGTCTATCTCTCCAAACACAAGGTTTAGCTCAGTAAATCTGGTTTAAAATGAAAGAAAACACCTGTGGTATTTACGAAGATGTGTAATTATTAGGATATGTGTTACTGATGCAGAGTAAGGGAAGATGGCAGTGCAACATTTCAAACCTGGCCTAAAAGAAAACCCTTTTAGCATCATCTTGACATTTTTGACCCTCATGGCGAAACATTTGAAGAACATTAAAATAAAGTAGGTGTTGGGCAGAGCCTTAGAGTGCTGCAGATACAAATGAATCATCCTCTGGTTCTTGAGAGACGAGCTGTGGAGAATGGAAATTATTACATGGATGTTTTTCTCTGTCTTGATCTAAACAGGATTGATTTTCTTTATCCTTGCAAAGAGATCCTCCTCTGATGATGCAGCTGTGGTTGAACTAAAACAGCAATAAAGACGTATTACAGAAACATTTGTATTTTGCATCAAATTACAAAAATCTTTCATGTGGCAAACTAAATTTTACTTTTGTCTTCTTACGTGTTTTTTACTGTGAATAGAGACGATTGAAGGAGCTTCTGATCCACATTGAGCTACAGCATGTTTCACTTATTGTTTTCATTCATTACTCACAGATTGCTTTACTTGCAGAGCAGCATGTGGCCTCTATTTCTGTATGATCTGCCTGAACTCTTTTTGCACCCACCTGTGAGATAGGCTGGTTTACGTAGACCCAGCCTGTCAGCGGACTGACCCGGAGGTATTCCGGCGGCTCCCCAGACATGCTATACGTGATTGCTGCATTGGTACCGAAGTCATCGTCATGAGCCGCCACCCGCAGGAAGCTGTTCCCGATCATGGTGTCCTCACGGAGGAAGTCTGAGGAAATAAAGCTTAAATTCGGTTCTGACCTCATTTACACTGGAAGGTTGATTTTCCATTTTTAAGCTTCTGTCCTTCTCAGGCAATCAAAAAAAAATTCTTTATCAATAATAAACTGAGTAAGAATAAAAACTTTTGAACATAAAGGTGCATCTGTTCCTAACAGACCACTTTGCTCTCAATTGGCAGGTTTACTAGTGGTTCCCAGAATTTTTTAAAAATAGAATAGGATGCAGAGCTCCTCTCCTTTTTGATAAAGCTTATAGTTAGAGTGGCTCAGGTTATCCTGAGCTATCTCTATAGTTATGCTGCTATAGGCTTAGACTGCTGGAGGACGGAGGGACCCCTTTTTTCATCATTCTGCTTCATTCTATCTCTATTCTCTCACTCTACAGAATCTATTATTTCAATATCTGACGTTCTGCTCTCTCTGATTTTCCTCATAGTAGCTTCATCTGGTCTTTTCCTGTTTGGCTGTGACTAAATCCTGGAGACAAAATATCAGCTGTGCTGCTGCCAGCAACACCTTTGTTTGTAGATGTTGGAGATCAGCCTGTCTTTCAGTGTAGTGTAGTCAGTGTAGTCCTGTTTCTGATTGTGACTTAATGGACGTGCTCTCCTCATCCTCTAACACAGCTGGTGGCTCGGAGCTCGTCTGTCTGGCTGTGTTCTTCCTGGACGGGGCCGCCTGTGGAGCTGGTTTACAGTTGCCTTTTGTGTCTCTGCTTCTTTTTCTATGTCTGCTTCTGTCTCCTTGAACCCCAGTCACCCTCAGCAGATGCAGATGGTTTTCCTTCGATAGAAAACTGAATCATTTTGACTGGATGATCTGGTGAACTGTAAAGTGCCTCGAGATGACGTGTTGTGAATTAGCGCTATAGAAATAAACTGAACTGAATTAAATTGAATTAACAAATTAATTTATTGCCATCAGTGAAATGACTGAGTTAGCTGGTAATAACGGTTTGACATCTAAGAAGTCTGACTTTACCATGTCTGCCAAAAATTTGAGGTACAGCACTTACCAAAAATCTCTATAAAGTTTTTCTTGTTACCTAGTAATATAGTGTAACTTGCTATGTTATTACCATGGTATAATGAGGTTATTGATGTACTGTAAAAGAAAAGTAGGTAAGATGGTTTGTCAATGGAATTGAGTATTTTTACTCTTGAAATAAGATAATATTATGCACTTGAAATAAGACAATAGAATTGTTCTTTTTCGTATTTTGAAAGTAAATTGTCTTTTTCCATTGGCAAACTGTCTCACTTAAAGAATAAATGTACTTATGTTAAAATAAAATTACTTATTTTCATGTATTTGCAGTGTAGGGAACCTTTACAGTGTAGGGATGGATAAGTGATGAACTACAAACTGCACTGGAGAAACAATCTAGAAATAACTAAACATTTCTTAATTGAATTCATCTTTAATTTGAGTAGGGAAATGAGATAGTTGGCCAATGGAATTTGTTTTTTTACTCTTAGAATAACATATTTAGATAATATGTACTTTAAGTAAGACAATGCAATTGTGTTTTCTTATTTTAAGTATAAATTGTCTTGTTCCATTGGCCAAGTGTCTCTTTTACCTCCTCAATCCAAGAAAAAAAATTCTTATTTTAAGAAAAAATGACTTATCTAGATTTAAATTTTTTCCATTGTGTTCACATACTTTTCAACTGAAGAATAAAAATACCTCCAGGAACCATAGTGATAAGAGCAGCATCAGTTACTCATTTATCTGCTTCTAAATATCTATGTGATGTTGTTCTATCTTAAAACTTTCTAGCTTAATTTTCTGTGGAGGACCTGATGCTAGTCGATGCTCCGTCCCCCCCAGACAAGGCCATGTTTGTCTGTTAAATAATCAGAAACATTAGAAGCTGTCATGGGGAAGCAGCCATCTATGCCTTTAGAAGGTGGTGAAACTTTATGCCCTGAAGTAGAACATCAGCCACAGCAGCTTCTTACATTCATATCGTAGGTTCTCAAACTTGGGGCTGTTGTCGTTCTGGTCCAGGATGAGAATATTGAGCTGACAGATGCCAATCAGTGGGTCGGCTGCCTGGTCGGTAGCCGTCACCGTCACTGCGTATTCACGCTGGCGCTCACGGTCAAATTTTCTGGCAGTCACGATTACACCTGGGAATAAAGAACATGATTCTGAGAGGACTTACACCAGAGATCTGGAGCCTAAGCTGTTGCTGATTCATGCATGATCAAAACGCTGATGACACCGCATGTTTGCATACCAGTATCAGGGTGGATGCTGAACGCAGGAACCGTAGAGTCTTTATGCATGAAGCCGTAGGTGACCCTGCCATTGGAGCCTTCGTCTGCATCCACAGCATGGACCTGGAGGACAAAGGTCCCCGCTGGTTGGTTCTCCAGCACAGACGTGCTCTCACGGTACTCCTGACACTGAGACCAACCAGAGCAGCAGAGAGAACAGGTGGAGATCATGGCAGCAGAAGAAAAAAAATCTAATGTATTAAACGAAGAGATTGTATGTGATGAAAGGGCAAAAGGAGGGGATTGGAAAATGTGTTTAATTAATTCTATTTAATAACGATTGGTCTGTTTTTCATTGTAGTCCTGTTTCTCTGACTGTGACTGTCTGGATGTGCTCTCTTCATCCTCTGACATGGGAGCTGGCTCAGAGCTCATCTGCCTGGCTGTGTGTTTCCTGGAAGGAGCTGCCTGTGGAGCTGGTTTACAGTTGCCTTTTGTATCTCTGCTTTTTTTTTTTTCAATGTTTGCTTTTGTTTCTTTGAACCCCTGTCCGCCTCGGGAGATGGCTGCTCACTCTCAGCCTGGTTTTGCTGGAGGTTTCTTCCAGTTAAAAGGAAGTTTTTTTCTCTCCACTGTCGCTACAAGCATGCTTAGTGTGAGAGATTGCTGAAGAGTCAACAGAAAACTTTGAATCAATCTGACTGGATGATCTGGTGAACTGTAAAATGCCTTGAGATGACATCATGTGTTGTGAATTGGTGCTATACACTCACCGGCCACTTTATTAGGTACCCCATGCTAGTAA